TGTAAGTATGGTTATATATATATATATATATATATATATATATGTGGTTCATTAGCTTTCTTAGGCTATCAAATTGCATAACGTTCTAATACATAAATACATTTATATTTTAAAGTTGCGTGCTTACGGTATCTATTTTACAAAGGCTTTTTCATCCATTTAGATATCCGGAGCTATCTGTTTTATAAATCCTCTTCTAACATTAAATTGCGTTTTGATGAGCTGCCTGGATTGAATACATTAGTTAATGACGCGTGATGTTCTAGAAATTGTAAAGCGTGCGTAACTTCAGCACCACGGTCAGAGCTCAGCGCGAGAACAATAGGAGCTTCAGGGACTGTCAACCAATAACACCATCTCATCCAAAACACAAACTAACACTTTACACCATCACAGGTGTGCGAGATTAAAGGGATAGTTCATGCAAAACGAGAATTTGCTGTTTATTTTTACTCACCCTCAGCCATCCAAGATGTAGTTGACTTTTCTTCAGTAGAACAGTAAAGATCTTTAGCTGAAATTGTGGTCATTGCTGATTCATAAAATGCAAGTCAATGACTACCGGCAGTTGATAGTCAAAGAGCATATACAAGCAATGCAAATTTAAAGGGCACCTATTATGCCCCTTTTTACAATATGTAATATACGACTGAGGTGTCCCCAGAATGTGTTTGTGAAGTTTCAGCTCAAAATACCCCACAGATCATTTATTATATTGTGCATGTCTCTTTAAATGCAAATGAGCTGCTGCTCCCCGCCCCCTTTTCCAGAATAGAGAAGTGCCTTTACAGCTCACAACTGCTAAAAAAAACATCTGTTTGGTTTTGATTATCATGTCTATCGCGCTGAAATCACGCGTTTTAAAGCCATATTAGTTTAAACTTCTGACAGACGTTTTTTTTCTGAACGCGAACATCAGTAACACGCGTATAGAAAGTAGCTGCACACGGCATGAGCACTAAGTTCTCTTTCACACACGAGTTTATGTTAAAAACACGCATAAGTTACAAAAACACAGTCGGTTATGGTTGTGAAGTAAACATCTGGAAAAGGAATCGCATGTAGATCTGTGTATTAAGTGACATCAGCATAATATACTGTACCTATACTGCGGTCTATGCTATTAATATGACCCAAAGAATAAAATAAGAGCAGAGAATCACTTACTGCTCTGGACTGAATAACGTCTATAGCCTTAATAAGAAGACATTTCTTGCTTGAATGCTGCTTTTAAATGCTCTGAAGATAAACATAGAGGACTGTGTGCGGCTCACTCAGGGCGGGGTCTCAGCTAGATTACGGCT